ATGTTGAATTGTGCTTTTTGTGTAGCCTTTATGACAATATCTTTCTCACTTTTTCTGTTTAAAAAAAAATGTACGACACTTTTTGCGGCCCAATGCTCAATTTCGGTCGTCAGTTTATGTTATTACTTTAAAAGAAATCTTTGCAATTTACTCGGGTGAGCATGAGAAGTGGCACTCATTGTACTCTTTAACATGGAATGCATGAGGCAAATCTCCGCATAATAAACGTTGTCACCTATGCAAAAAGATCTAGTTGACAAATTTAAACAACTGAAAAAAGGTAACAAGGAAAACGATAATCCTCTTTATCCAGTACAGTGGTAATAAACATGACGAGTTAAGTCATCTAAATCAGCAACTAGGACAAGCATAAACCTTCATGATGCACACGTGGAAACCGGAATTTTACTCGGAAAATGAAACATACATGTGTAGTACTGTAATAATAATGAACAAAGTCCAAGAAGGGCTGCGCAGACAAAAAGTCAGAATTGTTCAAGTTTATAAAGCATGGAGTGAAAGAGATGATCCCCCCCTCCTCCTTAAAAAGCCTAAGACAACAAGGTAGACTGCAACAACAGCAAAAAACAACAACAACAAAACAAACAAACACATAAATAAAAAATTATACCCCACCCTTCCACGCCCATGACAACAAAGGATGCTGGTTCCAATTCACACCCAGCTGAAGAGGAGAACTTGGTAAAAAAAAAATGCCCTCCCAACTGAGACAACAACTTCATTCAAGAAACTGAACCATCATGAGTCCGGGAGCCTAACCATTCAGCTACCCACGTCATAGACGGAATAATGTGCTATGTTCAAACAATATGGTGAAAAGGGTATGAATAAAAGGAGGAATACCTTTGGAATTCTATGTTTACCAAATTAAAAGGTTCAGTCTCAAATATTTCAGAAAACAGAATAATAAAATGCTGAGAGTATAATGTGACATACCAATACGTCTTTAGCCAAAGAAATGGGTTCACAGGGCTTTTCAGCTTCGTCACTTCGCGACTCCAGTGCTTTCGTGTCGTACATCCATTTTTAGTAACAGTGAAAACAGTTCATTACAAAGATGAGCTTAAGAAGATGTCACAATTTCACTGTTTTAAAAAAAATGGAGATACGTCAAGAAAGCACTGAGGTCGCGACTTGTCTATGCCATAACGCTATTTCACCAGTGTCTGTGACGTAGCGCTTAGGCGTTTGACCGTTGCATGAAAAAGAACTGAGTTTTACTTCCGCGTTGGGAGAATTTCAATCGAGTACCGCCGTCTTTCTGCTGGGACGTTGTATCTCTTTCGGGTTTGTCCTAATAAGCAGGAAGCCCGCCTTCTAAACGATTTAAATTGAGGCAACTGGGGGGG